CCTCAACCCACCCCTTGTGTACTGGGACCAGCACGTGTGTCCATGTATGCTGTGTCCCATGGCTTGCCCAGCAAGGGATGCGGCTGCTCTGCTTTCTGCCTGTTGTTATCAGAGAAGTTCCACCCGGCCCCCACAGGCATGGTAAATATTCCCTTCAGGGCCACGTCACGGAGGAAAAAGAAGAGCTGAACCGCAGCTGCTGAATGAAAAGTTTTGCTTGGCGGCACTGGGAGGTGGGAGCGGCCAGTCCCCACTGGGGATGGGTGACCTGCTTCTGCATGCTGGAAGCTAAGGAAAGGCTGGAATTGCTCAACTGTGCCTGGCTTCAGGCCTGTGCCGTCCGCAGGGTCAGGACCACTCCTTACTGCTCAGCCCTTAGGCCAGCTACTCCTTGCATGGTGATTGCTGTAGAGGTCCAGTGGGACCAGAACCCCATCTTGGCAAGTGCTGTATGTGCATGTTGGGAGGACACGTTCGCATCCCGGAGAGCAGAGGCTGGACCGTGGCTCAGGGGTGCTGGGAGGGTTGACATGATTGGAATAACAGACTGGATGGGATAGCTCACATAACTGGAGCACTGTCGTGGATGAGTATAAACTGTTCAGGAAGGACAGGCAGGTGAGAGGAGTTGCACTGTATGTAACAGAGCTATATGACTACTCCGAGTTCCAGTATGAAACTGGAGATAGATAGGCCTGTTGAAAATCTCTGGGTTAGGGTCAGAGGGGGAAGGTAACAAGGGTGATATCATGGTGGGGGTCTGTTATAGACCACCAAACCAGGAGGACAAGGTGGATGAGGCTTTCTTCAAATGGTTAGCGGAAGTTTGCTGATTCTTATAGGGGATCACGGGCCCTGGTTCTCACGGGGGACTTCAAGCACCCTGACATCTGCTGGGAGAGCAATACTCAGTGCACAGGCAATCCAGGAACTTCTTTGGATTGAACCAAAATAAATGTCATAAGATTCAATAAGGACAAGTGTAAAGTCCTGCACATAGGATGGATCAGTCCCATGCCCCAGTACAGCCTGGGGACCAACTGACCAAACAGCAGCTCTGCAGACAAGGACGTGGGGGTTACAGTAAACACTAAGATGAATATGAGCCCACCGTGTGCCCGTGTTGCCACGAAGGCTAAGGACATACTGGGTTGCATTAGTACGAGCATTGCCAGCAGATCAAGGGAAATGATTATTCCCTTCTTTTCGGAACTGGTGAGGCCACATCAAGTATGGTGCCTAGTTTTGGGCCCCCCGCTACAGAAAGGATGTGGACAAGTTGGAGAGAGTCCAGCAGAGGGTAATAACAGTGGTTAGGGGACTGGGGGACATGACTTCTGAGGGCAGACTGAGGGAACTGGGCTTAGTCTCGAGAAGAAAGGACTGAGAGGGGATTTAATAGTTGCCTTCAACTCCCTGAAGGGGGTTTGCAAAGGATGGAGCGAGACAGTGGTGGCAGATGGCAGAACAAGGAGCAACGGTCTCAAGTTGCAGCAAAGGAAGCTTAGGTCGCATATTGGGAAGAATTTTCTCACTAGGAGGGTAGTAAAACACTGGAACCAGTTATCCAGAGAGGTGGTGGAAGCTCCATCCTTGGGAGCTTTTAAGACCTGGCTAGACAGAGCCTTGCCTGGGATAATGTAATTCAGTATGGTCCAGCTTTGAGAAAGGGGTTGTAAAAAATGACTTCCTGAGGTCCTTCCCAACCCTAGTTTTCTATGATTCCGATTTGTGCACAGCCAAGGGTAGCATTTTTTTTTTTTTTTTTTTTAAGACTGCCTAAATCCCAGTTTCCAGCATGGTCTAGGAAGTGTGGTATTTAGACACCTGTGAGTTAGGCTGAGTGCCTGCACCACTTTGAAAAGTAGAACTTGTGCTCCTAAGTCCCTTGGATACTTTTGAGCACTTCAAGTGGCCTGGCCCAGGTTGACTAGGGAGCTGTAGCAGGCCTGACTCTGGGTCCAAGCCCTGGCCTGGTGCCATGAGAGCAAGACCCTTGCCCCTGCCCTGGCAACCTGGACCTCTAGGCCGCCACACCCGCTCCTCTCACTGGCGACAATCCCTAAACTTTGCTGCTTCCCTGCCAGAACAATGGAGGTGCCTGCACCTGCTGCTGACAGCTGGCCCCCAGGAGAGCATCTGTGCTACCACTGCCATAGGAACCCTTCGCCTCATCCCAGCACCTGCTAATTAACTGTGCAACCTAGCAGCTGCAATTCCTTTCCACCTGTGTCTTTCTGGGGCCCCCTCCGCTCCCAGGGTAGCTCAGGGCTGCTTGCAGTTGGCAAGATGGGACAAGTCGCTTGTATGTGCACTGCCACCCAGCTCCCTCTGTGCCAGGGTAGGCTGCCTTGGCTGTTCCTGAGTGAAGTCCCTGCTACCTGGGGCTCTGCTCTATGCTGCCTTTTCTCTACCCTACTGACTAGCTCTGGTTCTTGCCTCATCTTTCACAGGGGGAAGAAGAAGGGCAGGGGTGTTCATTCCTAGGCTGCGACGGGTGGGAAGCCTGGATCTCACCTCCGTGTGAGGTCAGGACAGAGTTCTTAAGGAGATTCTTATTGGAGCTATTCTGTCATGGACAGTATTATTTATTTGTACTACAGTAGACCTTGCGGGCTGGCACCCCATGATGCTTGGTGCTGTACAAATGCACAAGCAAGGGTCTGGTCACAGGAGCTCACAGTCCAAGCAACAGAGTTGGACCAATACCAGGCACCCCAAGCCTTCCATGTTCTCACAGTAGCCCCCAAACAGCACTTAACCCTC